AATCACTCAGAAATTACCAGCTCTACATCACTCAGCTCTATATGCAAGCAATCGTGCACCTTGTACACAATATGATCTTACATCGTGTTTTGCAGACATACATGCATGCGACCCACACCTTGTGTGTAGGGTGATCTTATATCATGCTCTGTAGACAAATGATGTCAAACCTAGTATGTAAGACAACGCTACATCATGGTCTGTAGATATAGGACCTCAGGCCTTGTGTGTACGATAACCTTCATCAGAACACGTATATCATAACATCGTAATCGTCACGTGTTGCCTTTTCGCAGCCACATGCTACCATGTTTTAGGGCAAGGAATATACGTATGAAGTTTTCCACGTAACTGCAATGTGTCAGGTGAAGATTTGTACGCATGTAGATCGTGATATAGTGCGCTTCACGTACCTCTGTTGTCTACGGCGCGGGCGGGGCGGCGTGCGCTTTGCCTTTGTGCCGTCAAAGTAGGCGTGCTGGTAGAAGCAGTTACCGGCAAATGGACACTCTCCGCAACCGTGCTTGAAATACTTGCAAGGTTTCGCACTGTAAGCAGACCAGAGACGCGATGCACCAAGTGAACAGCTGACGTAGAACACAGAGCAATACAGAATTCATAGTAATGAGGTGGAATTAAGGACGTCATCATATTTACATAGATTGCAGCAGCAGTAAATAATCCTGAGGACTACTGTTGTTTCACATTTATAAAGTTCACACCTAGTTAACTGAGATTTCACCCATAATAAGTGCTCATATTTAACATCTACCGTCCACACCAGTCCTTACAAACACGCATTATAGTAAGATTTAAGTGACTGCTAACAGTGTGTGCCATCCATTGAGATTTTCACTCGCAAAAGTAAACATCAATTAAACTTCTACTCCAAGAAAGTCTGAACTACTAGAATTACTCGAGCAGTAGGAAGAAAAAAAGGAGAGAAAAAGAAGAAAAAAAGGGAAAAAAAGAAGAGACAAAAATGGAAAAAGGAAGAAAAAGTACGGGTAGGAGAAGGAATAAAGCTGCAGAAAAAAAGGGAAAAAAAGAAGAGACAAAAATGGAAAAAGGAAGAAAAAGTACGGGTAGGAGAAGGAATAAAGCTGCAATTTTCCCACCTCGTTAACGATGGGTAAAAAAAATCGATCGTTCCAGCGACCTAGCAGCATAGAGTTTTGTACCTGAGAGCAGTTTTGTATCCCTCAATGAGTTCCAGCTTCTCTTGGTGGTCCTCAACCCAGTACAAACTCGGCGTTACAAAGTTTGAATTCACTCTACACTCCGGGCAGGCACTACAGATGTACAAACACACGCGCATGAGCACACGTTAGAGGCAATGGCACAACAAAGCGTAGGCGAGGAAAAGTTTTTACGGGAATATGACCGCAAAACTATTCGATGATAAAGGAATCGAAACCAATGCTCCGAGAAATTACCTCTCAAAATATAATTCAGCATTAAAATGCGGTTAGCTATTAGTAGATGTATCACTGAATGCTCCAGCTTGAAAATTACGAACAATTTATGCTGTTACACGCTATAACAGAGGGAGTGAACGGAAAAATTGCAAAAACGATCTTGACATTTGGCCAGTAAAATTAACTGAATATTTCTAAAAATCACATAAAACAATTGCTCGTAATTCGCCGACAGCGACAGTGTGAGCGTCGCGGCGCATCGCAGCTCACCGGATGATCTTATTCTCAAACTGCTTGGCACTGCGCCACTTTCGGATGCAGCTGAGGCAGAAGACGTGCTTGCAGTTGGAGAGGATGCCGAATCGGCGCTCGGATACCGGCGTCTTCTCCATAACGAGCTCCATGCAGATTCCGCACGCCTTGTCCTTGCTGCGCTGCACCTGGAACGAGTACTCCATGTCCTTCTCATGCTGCTTCAGGCACGCCTGCGACATGAGAGAGAGAGCGAGAGAGGGTGAGACGATTTAGGGCGACGGTCAATGTGCGAGAAATATTAAAAAATAATAACACAAAATTAAAAAATAATAATAAAAAAAACAAAAAATACGCTGGCCGGTTTCTCGCTAGGTTCTACAATAACGTTAGTTATGTAGTAGGCCCTACTTAGTAGTATATCGGTAAGAATAACAATATAAAATAGTGGTATATCACTAATATAATAGCTATATATTAGCAGTGTATTGGTAAGATTAACAATAAAACAGTGGTAGATCAATAATAATAACTATATATATTAGTAGTAAATTGGTGAGAATAACAATATAGCAGTTAATTTATTAATAATATTTACTTAGTAGATGTATAGCAATTATGACAGTCACAAAGTAGCAGCCTCTTAATTATTATGGGTATATTGCACCAGTATATCGGTAATATAGATTACAGACACTCAAACACTCGTCGCCATCTAGTGGCACGATCAGCGCCCCCCTAGTGGCAAGATCAGCGCCCCTAGCGGCGAGATCAGTGCCCCCTAGTGGCAAGATCAGCGCGACCTAGTGGTTGCCTCACCTCCTTGTGGAGCGCTCGCTGATCTTTGCTCGTCGGGTGCAGGCAGCATTGGCCGCAGTATTCGCACATGTCGCCGTGGACGTACGCGCACTCCGCGCAAAGCTCGCACTCTCCCGCCTGCAGGTAGGGGCACAGCAGCTGCTGT